CGGCCCGTTCCGACATATATAGCAGTGAGAGTATATAGAAGACTATATGCAAAGTTTCATTCAGATAACTTTAAAACTGAGGGACTAGTTTGCGTAGAAACGGACAGACGGACAGACGGACGGACAGACGGACAGACGGACATGGCTAGATCGACTCGGCTGTTGATGCTGATCAAGAATATATATACTTTATAGGGTCGGAAAGGTCTCCTTCACTGCGTTGCAAACTTCTGACTGAAATTATAATACCCTGCAAGGGTATAAAAATCCTACGTGTGTCGATAGCCATAGGTATTTTGCATATACTGTCAAAATTTCAGATCGATCGGTTAAGGGGGTCTTCTCATTGGGCAACTTTTTTCTTCGATTTTTTTTTTTTGCATTTATTTATAGCTTGGGATGGTGTGTATATGTCCCCAAAAGGATTTTTAGAAATTCGAAATACTTTAGAAGATACAGCCTTTTTTGTGAAGCAAGATCTATGCAAAATGAGCTTTTTTCAAACTTCAAACGCGTTTATCTCGAAACCACGTTTTTCGAACTGGCGGCCTCATGGCAGATATCATTATCTCCAGTTCAACTGAACCGATTTTCATGAAACAAAGTTGGACCGACGCAGAATTGTCACCATTCTCGGGTGACGGAACAGATTTTTTAAAAAATTTTTTTTTTTACACTAATCTACAAAAAAAAAGCCCGAAATCGAAAATTTTTTTTGAATGGCCGCCATTTTGTTTAAAAAAAATTTTTAAAAAATCTGTTCCGTCACCCGAAAATGACTTCAATTCTGATTATAACCCCGTTTTTTTTTTTCATTTCGGACGCTCTGGAGACCCTGAATCGTGGCCGCCAGGACGACACCTATTTTTTCGACCACCAAGTTTGAAGTCTCATTACTCTTTGAACAACCCTCGTATCGAGGCAAGAACAACTTTTTTAGTTACTTTGAACATTTTTGAATACAATAAATAAAAAAAGTTTTCAATTATTCGTTGCGTTTTCAAATAAGAATTTTTTTAAAAAGGGTCCAAAAAACGGCTTTTGAATGAGAAGACCCCCTTAATAAGCTGGACTTGAAATAAAGGACTTTAGAGCCTCCTCCTAGCATTTAGAGCGAGCGCCAAGCAAATGTATGTTTAAAGCTTTAAAATCGTATATGATTACATGCGAGGCATCGCCGCAGAATGGAAAATTTCGTCACTTAGAAACATTTGCCGGACTTTATCTTTTGATATGTTATTTTTAAGACCCTAAAGTATTTTTTAAGCAAAAAAAAATTTTCGATTTTTAAAAAAAGTTACTCAGATGTCCCCCCTTAATCACTTTGGTCAGAAGTAAAGGAGTCATTTGCAGCCCTATAATGTATATATGTATATTCTTTATCGACATCAACAACCAAGTCAACCTAGCCATGTCTGTCTATGTAATATATCAAATATAATATTATTAATTGATTAATTTTTGTATGTATTATTTTATTATTTCTTATTATTACCAAATAGCCAATATCTGCCATTGTAAAACCATCTTATCTTATCTCTAATCGGATAAGGAGTGTTTTTTAACGATATGCTGCGACTAACATCAGGTGGGCAGAGGCAAGGATAGGTGTCTTAAGATATTTTGTACATTAAAGTCTAAGGACATTTCAACAACCAACAAAAAGAACAGTTTGTTGTAAAGCGAACATAAAACGCGGAAAGGATCATGCGCCTATACATTTTGTTTTCACGCCGGGCAGGTCTGACGATCTTTAAGAGAGGGCAGGTCCAAAAGGCGTAGCCTATTGGCATAAGAAGAGAGGCGACGAAGTGGGTCCTAGTCTAAACCCCAAAGAGCGAAAAAAATTAATAGCTTCTGTACCGATTCTATAAGGTGTCGATACCTTGCATATTGAGGGGACCATACACACGAACAATATTCGAGAATAGAGCGAACCATAGATATATAAAGGAGTTTTTTGGTGTAGGGATCATAAAATTCCTTTGATCGATCCAAGATCCGTTACTGATGGTCACGTTTAGGAACACTCGTCCCTATAGAATAGCTGGCATGGAAACAATTTTTAACAAAAATATAATTGCATTGGACATTAAAAGACGATCTTCTTTGCTGTACGCAAACTTTTGAGACTACTATTTTTAAATGGGTTTGGGTAAAATGGTCATTATAAGAAAACCGCTAGGCACATAATTCTGCAAAAATAAGGAGGCGACGTCAATTGAATGACTAATAGATTGAACCAATTTTTGATTCGCAATGGAAAATATTTGCAGAGTTTTTTGACATTAAAGTCAATGTTATGATTTTTTATTGCCCTGTACGCAGAGATATGAGAGCAAGTGTATTAACATTTACAGTTGTTAACAAACAACAGGGAAGGATGTTGTTCAAATCAGCTTGGAAAAGCGTAGTAGAGCCAGGATTCGCATTAGGCAAAAATAGTTTAAAAGGAAATGAAATGGCTGACAAAACAGCCAAATCAACATTAAGAATGCCACTTGTATTCACACCCAACCATAGCTCAAAAGACATAAACAAATTCCTAAAACACCAACTAAACCAACAAACACATAGCCTACTCATCAAGTGCAATAACTGGTACCAAAACATTAATACCAACTCACAAACATCGATCTACTCCAAGATAGCACAAGAAGAAGTCACTCGCCTTGACCAAATAAAGTTTACCCGTTTACGATTGGGTCATACAAACCTAACACACAAACATCACCTAGATACAACAACACGACGAAACTGCCCACTTTGCCATACATACACTCCAGTCACTATAGTTCACATCCTAAACCTTTGCCCTACAATAGCCCAAATTAAACAAAATATCCTTAAAAAACATAGACGCCACACACTATTTAAGTCACCCCTCCACAGAAAACATCAAAATAATAACCAAATTTCTTAAAAAAAACAACATTGTATCACAATATTTAACATACATTTGCTTGGCGCTCGCTCTAAATGCTAGGAGGAGGCTCTAAAGTCCTTTATTTCAAGTCCAGCTTATTAAGGGGGTCTTCTCATTCAAAAGCCGTTTTTTGGACCCTTTTTAAAAAAATTCTTATTTGAAAACGCAACGAATAATTGAAAACTTTTTTTATTTATTGTATTCAAAAATGTTCAAAGTAACTAAAAAAGTTGTTCTTGCCTCGATACGAGGGTTGTTCAAAGAGTAATGAGACTTCAAACTTGGTGGTCGAAAAAAAAGGTGTCGTCCTGGCGGCCACGATTCAGGGTCTCCAGAGCGTCCGAAATGAAAAAAAAAAAAACGGGGTTATAATCAGAATTGAAGTCATTTTCGGGTGACGGAACAGATTTTTTTAAAATTTTTTTTAAACAAAATGGCGGCCATTCAAAAAAAATTTTCGATTTCGGGCTTTTTTTTTGTAGATTAGTGTAAAAAAAAAAAATTTAAAAAAAATCTGTTCCGTCACCCGAGAATGGTGACAATTCTGCGTCGGTCCAACTTTGTTTCATGAAAATCGGTTCAGTTGAACTGGAGATAATGATATCTGCCATGAGGCCGCCAGTTCGAAAAACGTGGTTTCGAGATAAACGCGTTTGAAGTTTGAAAAAAGCTCATTTTGCAAAGAACTTGCTTCACAAAAAAGGCTGTATCTTCTAAAGTAATTCGAATTTCTAAAAATCCTTTTGGGGACATATACACACCATCCCAAGCTATAAATAAATGCAAAAAAAAAAAAAAATCGAAAAAAAAAGTTGCCCAATGAGAAGACCCCCTTAAGTTAATAGATATTCCATCGGTCGTATAGAGGTAATAGAAATAGCTACTAGTCCGAGAAACGATTACAAATGATCTAGAAGACCCTGTCGCCGGTGCGTACGTGCTGGCGACGAGCTCAGTGGTTTGGAATCTTAAACTCCACCAAGCGGGTCAAATCAAAGCCAGCGGGCACTATTACAGGCTATTTGGCTCCGTCCAGCAATGAAGTTTCCTTTGGTGGTCCTGCCGGAACTGGCATATTCTCCAAGGGCGACACATACTCCTCAGCGGGCTTCACACTTGCGACAGGAGTCTTCTTAATGGTTTTAGCTGGTTTCATCACAGGCTGGACAACAGGATCGTCGTGCTTTTTAGGTGTCATAATTTCGTCCAAATCTTAGTTGAAGTAGGCATCCAGGGCCGCCGAAAACTCGCGCAGAGGCGAGCGTTTGAGATCATTGCACTTCTGTTGCGAACCAACCCAGATCTCGGTGAAGGCGTGCTTATGCTTGGCCTCAGATCTTGGATCAGACTCTAGGTAATCTTTTAGACGCAGTTGCGGCGGGTCCATGTCGAAGAGCTCCTCGTTGGGCACCTTCTTCGAGGCGAGTTTCGGCACCTTCCTGAGGCACATGGGCAAGGGCTCCTCGATGCCGTTTAGCGGCGAGACCACAAACTTCTTGAGCGTCTTGAAGCGCTTCGTATGCGGCTGAGCACCGCCGTTGGTGGACACACCATCACAAGCAGCCGAATCGCTAGAACACTCGCTCTTTTGATCACCAGATTTTGAGTCCGATTTGCCAAACAAGGCCTTTGGAGGCGTCTCTTTTGTGGTCTGCGGCTGCTGCTCTATCGAAAGCCCATCCTCCAATGAACCCGAAGTCTCATGCTCCGACATCCCCGCGGCGCTGGGATGCGCTCAGAGCTCGCTGATTGGAGATCTCGCTGTCGTTGAACGAGTGAAAGGAGTCACTGTCCTCGTTATCGGAAACATCACCCCCAGGAGAAAAGTTCATCTTGATTTATTTTCCACTTATTTGCGGTCAGCTGAAAATTATTTTGTCAATGGCGCAAAAGTCAAAGTGACACTCCTACGCAAATTGTACATGTTGTAAATAATACACCATAGCCCCGTATATAGTCGGTGGCCCTGGCAGCTCGCTCTATATATTTACATGTTAGTCTTAGTTTTATAAACTATTCTAACATTCAATAAAATAAAAAAAAATAAATAAAACTTTCTTATCTATATTTTCAGTACTTTCCAGTCGAATGAAACAATTGGCCATTTTACTTACCGATTTTAACTTTGAGTGCATAGGTACGGCACAGACCGATGATGAGAACGTCATTTGTGAAAGCCTAAAACGTTTTGGTGCTATCATTGGCAATATTGAAGATGAACGCGAAAAAATGGTAATTAAATGCTGGATATCAGAGCTACTTTGCCAAAAAAGTGATTCCAATGTTATCCCTTTTCTTATCTTGTTGGTTTTTTACGCAGCTTACTTTAGCTGATAAACATATTATTGAAGCTTTAGAGGACTTCAGAAAAAAACAAATTGGAAGCGTAAAAGAAAACAAAAAGAAGTTTGATAAAAAAACGGAAAAATTCTGCCAGTCGCAAGAGCGTTTTCTGAATATGTCTATAAAAAAACCCGAAAACGCAATACAGGAGGTAAGTAATGAAATGTAATATTTTAGAATGATGTATATTACGTTATATTATATTTATAAAATAATGCCGCAAAAAACCTTGACAGGAAGAACACAACAGTTGCATTGAAAAAAATCAAACAATTTATTATACCTTTGTAGTGTATTGTAATTTTGGGACTTTCTAATTTTATATATTTTGGGACGGATCGAACTCCAAAGGTTACTTATTGATAACCTTTTTTGTCAGCAATTCTTGGATTTCTTTATTTTTTTTTAAATACAAGGTGCAAAACGGGGCACTTTTCAAACATTAAATTAAATATTATAATACAACAACACTTGAAAAATACATATATTTTTAATTTTTGTATTACAAGTAAAATAAAATAAAAAGAATTGAAAAACGACAAAAGTTTTCAAAACAATTAGTCCAGTAGATTTTACTTATCGCTTAAAATTTGCAATGCTCATACTTTTTACACCAAACTACCTCCGCTCAACTACCAATAACATTGTCAATTTTTCGATGATCAATGTAAAACTTTAACAAAATATTTTAAAGATATTGAGCATTTTGAACAAATATATTTAAGATATTGTTTTCCATGGGCTATGTCATTTATAGGGTCTTCCCACAGAGGGAGAAAAAAAACTTATAAATTAGTGCCCTAGTCACAACGGGTAGATTAAGGGGGGATATACATGTAAACCAAAATTTTTGGGCAAATTTTTTTTTTGTTTAAAAAATAGTTTATTATTTAAAGAATACAGTGTGTAAGTTTCATTATCGAATTCCAACTCTAAGTGCCTCAAATCAAGTATGCACGCAAGGTATACAAGTGTTAACGTGGGCGCATCAAAAACTTTATACGTCTTTTTCTCAGCTTCTAATTTTTGCATTTCTACCTATGCTATGGACACGATTCGCAAAAAACTACGTAACATATCGCAGTGAATCAAAAAGTATTATGATCAGCATGAAATTATCTTCTATTTGAACCTACATGGTTGTTATAAAACTGAGTATTACTATTTTTTAAGAGGGTGGGATGTGAAAACTGATCACCTGAAAGGTATAATGAATACAAAAAAATGTAGTTTACGGATTTCGGACAGGAATTACGAGCTCTATCGTGTCCATAGCACGGCAACTCAAAGCTCGAGGCGCTACGGCATATGTTCCATAAATCCGCCATTTTGTAAATATTGTTTATAACTAAATTTTTTTATCATCTCTGATTCTACTTTTAACTATATCCAAAGTTTCACGACGATTGCTGGACTATTTCTTATAAAAAAAAATTCACGAAAAATTGACAAATTTTGACCGCTTACATGTATATCCCCCCTTAAGATCTCATCCGGTTTGACGGAAGACCCTAATCTTGGCCTTCCGAAATGGCGTACCAGAGTCAGGCAGACAATTCTGCTTAAGGGGTTTAGAACCACAAAAAAGGCCTATTTTCCAGAATTTTTTAAAAAGATCCTATGACAATTTTGCAAATTTCATTTATTCTACATTAATACATAAGGTTTGAACTAAATTCTGTAAAATTTTGAACAAAAAATATTCACAAATGAGCCGTTGAGGGAGGGTTGAACTTAACCCTAAAAAAAATTATGTCCTTGCGGTAGGCAGGATTTCTCCGTAAATTTTTATTTGAAATCAAAAAACCAAAATTTTTTTGTAAGCTTATGTGTCTGGTTTGTCTTTGAACGAAGGATTTTTTAAAAAATTAAAAATAGAGTTTTTGGGAGTATTTTCATGAAAAATGGCACTTTTTACGTCAATTTTGGCCATATTTTGGGTTATAAAATCGGTTCTAATTGAAGATATAAAAAATCCTTTGTTCAGAGACAAGAAAAACATGTCTAGAAGAAGTGTGAATCTTGACTACCGACTTCAAGAAAGTGGTTTTGAGAAAAACGCGTTTAAAGTTTTAATTGCCAGTTGTGACTCATACGACGCGCTGGGCTTTAAATTTCTCCCATTCCTACAGTTTTGCTTCGATCGACTTGAAATTTTCGGACAACATTCCTGCACTTTGTACTATTATATAAAATAGTTTGAAAAAAAATTCATTTTTTAAAATTTCAAAACCCGGATAACCCCTTAAGGGGGGACATCTGAGTAACCTTTTTTAAAAATCGAAAAAAATTTTTTTTGCTTAAAAAATACTTCAGGGTCTTAAAAATAACATATCAAAAGATAAAGTCCGGCAAAAGTTTCTAAGTGTCGAAATTTTCCATTCTGCGGCGATGCCTCACATGTAATCATATATGATTTTAAAACTTTAAACGCATTTTTCTCAAAACCACTTTTTTTGAGTTGGCCGAAAACATAACTCGAACAAATCTTAACCGATCGTTCTGAAATTTTGACAGTATATCCAAAATACCTATGGCTATCGACACACGTAGGATTTTTTTTGCTTACTTTTTTTTTTATCAACAATTTTGTGACGTTTTTTTTCATGAAAATTGAACATTTTATTTAATCACTCACCATTTTGCTAAAAATCAAAATATCGAAAAAATCCTACGTGTGTCGATAGCGGTTGAGATACAGAAACTAACAAAATTTGATTTTTTGTTCTAGATCAAAAATTAAGGACGTTAGGTTTTCGGCCATGGACCCCTTTCAAAAAAATAGGGTCTACGAAGACATGCTGCACAGCCGCCATTTTGTTTTCGATTTATAAAAAAAAAAAATTATTTTGTAGTTCACATCTAACATTATCAAACCTACCTTAAAATTAAAAAAAAAAAAAATTGTTTATTATTAAAAAAATATTCTGTGTTAGTTTCATTACCGATTTCCAACTCTAAGTGCCTCAAATCAAGTATGCAAGCAAGGTATACAAGTGTTAACGTGGGCGCATGAAAAACTTTAAACGTCTTTTTCTCAGCTTCTAACTTTTGCATTTCTACCTATGCTATGGACACGATTCACAAAAAACTACGTAACATATCGCAGTGAATCAAAAAGTATTATGATCAGCATGAAATTATCTTCTATTTGAACCTACATGGTTGTTATAAAACTGAGTTTTACTATTTTTTAAGAGGGTGGGATGTGAAAACTGATCACCTGAAAGGTATAATGAATACAAAAAAAATGTAGTTTACGGATTTCGGACAGGAATTACGAGCTCTATCGTGTCCATAGCACGGCAACTCAAAGCTCGAGGCGCTACGGCATATGTTCCATAAATCCGCCATTTTGTAAAATATTGTTTATAACTAATTTTTTTTATCATCTCTGATTCTACTTTTAACTATATCCAAAGTTTCACGACGATTGCTGGACTATTTCTTATAAATAAAAATTCACAAAAAATTTTTGACCGCTTACATGTATATCCCCCCTTAATATAATAAATTGGAGGAGGAGATACTTTGCTTTGAGACTCATTCAGTCCTCTCTGAGCTCTCAGACATTGTTTTGCCCTTTTGGCAACCTGATGCTTATCCTTACTGAACTTCTTCACCTGCTTGACGACGAATGTCGCTCTGACTTTCCTTTTCCCTTCTTCTTCTTAGTATTCTCCGAATAGAATTTCGAATTGTCGGCAATGTCCTGGGTCTACCTTGCCCTTTGTGCTCCTTTGCCAAATAGAAAACTTACTTCGTTGGCTCTAGCGTACCATTTCAGATGTGATAGCCGCTTATCTTCTCCACTGTTGAAGTCAATTTCGGTGTTTGTTACATTGGACTAGTGGAGTGCTAAGACTAGCGTTCCCCTCCGTTCTCAAAGGAACAGTGATGACCGGACTTGGGAACGGAAGTTCATCTTCGTCGATCTCCGAAGTTGGTTGAGATGCTAAGCCCTAAGAATTAGAAAATCCCAGGGACCGTAAATAATGATTATCAATGTTTTCTTTAAACAAAAAAATATCGTTTATTTAAGTCTTAATTTTTCGCTCAAAATATTAATAATTGTTCTTTGAGAGGTTAAGTAAATATAAAATATAATTATTAATGGTAAACAAAATATACTAAAATCAATGGATAATCATTGAACATTGATTTTTATTTTTTTTTACCTATAATGATTACGTGCTCAGGAAAATCCTCCTCGTTTAGTCATCCCACAAGGTCCAATGCATGAGGTTGGTCGTTCATTATGAATTCATAATCGCCCGGTGAAAGTCAGTAGGCAAGGGTCACATAACCTGGCAAACTTGCCCAGATTCGCCCGAGTACCATTCTTCAGCATCAGATACCAGTTCTTCCAGCGTGGTCGCAAAACTCTCAAAATATATTTAATTAACACAATTTTGTCGGTCTTTTCCAGATTGAAAACTTATTTTACCCGGGGACAAGTATTATAACTTAGCGTCAACTGAAATTGTATGTAACAGGCATGTAACGGGAGAAGGCATTTTCGACCACATAAACTGAATATGTTATTGAACAGACTAGTCGAGACTTAGCTATGTCCGTCCGTGTGCAACAACAGTGAGATCTGTTTAGGCTATTAGAGCTATATATACTATATGTTCATGTTTCTTTTAAAATTTGACCACGCCCCTTTGGCCCATATAAAAAACCTAACTGGGGAATATGTGAATGGTTCGGTTTTATCGGACAATGAGACCTGTGCAGAGCTACTCTGATCAAAATAAAAACTTGGAAGTTATTACATAATAAAGTTAATATTAAAAGCTGAACTTTTCAACCATTTTTGGGTTTCCGCTAGTTTACCATTCTTGTTTTAAATAAAATCTACAACAAACTCCAACCACCACTCTTACTCTACAACAATAAGAAATTTAATCACCAAACTGTTCCCAAAAATGTAATTAATTAGAATCCCGAGCAACATCGGCATAGAGAGCAACAAGAAAGCCGGGAGTGAATTGCGCTAATCCCCACTCACATTTTCTGTGAACAACAGCACCAAAGACATCACACAATACCTAAGGAATTAATACACTCTCTTACAAAATGGACTGCAAAACCAAACCACCCAACGGTATAAACACATCTACATCAAACTTTTCATTCAAAAGCACA